TTAAAGAATACATCCTCGTAGAAGAAAAAAATTAAAAATTTTGCACTCAATTAGGAAAAAAAAAAACACATCCATTCCATTCAATTGTTTATTGAGACGACTGAAATCCGGTGTATTTCTCGTAGACTGAAACAAATAAAACCCAACGCATGCACCCAGACAGTGACCTTCAGTTTAAAAATTTTGAGATTTGGATGTCATATTTAAAATAACAATGACGCCAGTTTCTAGTTTTTTAGTTGGTCAGACGCTTTCCTGTTATGCCTGCGCGATCCAATAGTCAGTGACGAATGTTCAGACGGGAAATTTGAAGAAAGATAAATGCTAAAAAAAGGTAAATTTAATAACTATGTATTAAAAATGTAAATAAATTAATTAATTAAAAGGTAAAATTACAATTTTTTTTTAAAAAAACTAAAACTCATGGAAAAAACATTATAAAGCACCTCAGATTGATTGCATTGTTCATCGAAACAATGCTGAATTTCTTGTTTTCTTTAGAAACTTTTTGTTTGAATCACCAATATATTTTTGTAAATTAGTCTTCAAAAATTGCAGTATATGGAATTTAAAGCTCATAATTTATTTTAGTTTTTTTCTATAGGTTTTTTTATCAAATAAATATATCAACATTTGATTGGTGTTTAATTTTACGGGGAAAAAAAAATTTGGTTATGCTGATTGAAAAAATTATAAATTTAAGAATCTAATTTGATATTATAAAAAAAATTAATGGTTTTTCTTTTTATCTCAATGTTCAAAATGTATCTGTTTTTTTTATTCATTTAATGTTTCATAAAAAAAGTGGTCCCTTTGGTTTTTAATTGAATATTTTGGTCTAAAATCTTATTCTTTTTAATTTTTAATGGCAAATAATCATTTTACCCTTAAGAAGTTATTTTACTTTTATTTGATGGTTTTTTTTAGCACTACCAAGTTTCCTTCATCTTAAAATTTTAACAAGATTTTATTCAATATATTTTAAGATCCCTTATAAAAGTTTAGCTCATTCTGATGGTTGGATTAAAAATTACATCCAATAATATAAAACTGGTCAAATTATGATTTTTTATTAAATTTCTAAATTTCTCCAAAAATTCTAAAATTTTAACCCAACCTAAAGCATCATATTAGAAGGCTACATATAAAGTTTCAGATTTTTTTAATAACTTAATCGAGAATTACAAAAAAATTTACATAAACCTTGTTGCATTGTGCGGTGTCACGACGATCATCCACCACTCAAGGAAAATTGTAAAAGTCTATCTGAAAAATATAAGGAGATAAGAAATTCTTGTCTTTTATCGGTAAAAAAATTGAATGGGAGTCGTCATCTAGTATTCTGGTCATTAAAAACCCTAATTAGTCTTAGAAATCAAGTACAAAGAATGATTACAAGGAAGGTATTAGCATTCCAATTATGTCCTATTTAAAGTAGGTCGCATTGTTTTAATGTCTGATAAAAAAACTATGGTCTTATTGTGTTTTATAATTGTTAGTCTGTTTAAAGTTCAATAAAAGCTTTCTTTAATAAGGAGTTTCTTATTTTAATAGGATAAAATCTAATTGTTCTAGCATTAAAAAAAAGGATTTAATATCCGAAATACATATTACATGTAATGTCGTACCCCAAATACTAAAAGATAAACAAAATAAAATTTTTATTGTTTTTGAAATTTTGATCAATGTTTTCTTGACTTTAAGAAACTAATTATTAAAGCCAAAATGCATGCTAAAATATTGTTTTTTCGTGTATGAAGAACACAATATGATTTTTTAGCTTTGAGACACTTGACCTTATACACAAAAATATTTTTTTTTATTTTTTTCAATTTGTTTTTGTATTTTAGAAGTTTTGACGAAAATCATGTATTTTAGTACTGAATTTGTATTTTATGACATAAAATATAGACTACTATTAAGTAAAAAAAGAAGAAGCATAAATTAAAAAGTGGGGAAATCACAAATATTGAAAAATATTGTTTTCTTTTAATTTGTTTTGAAATGAGTCGGACCAGACCCAAATGCATGGGCTGGGCTGCGGGGCTGGGCTCGTGTGAATAGTGCCTCCCACTGTTCACATGCTACTTAAACAGTGGAGGCGTTGTAGGGATGAAGCGGGAGAAAAAGGAAGGGGAGAAGGGATGACCTGCGGTGGTTGCTGTCGTTGGCGGAGTTGCTAGAGGCGACAGACAACAGTGTTGGTGGTGGTGTTAGTGGTTCGCGATGGTGGCAGAGGCTATGTTTTTTTTCTTCTCTCTCCCCTCTATTTTTCATTCTTTTCTCTGCCTTTTCTTCTTCTTCTCTCTCGGTCTTTCCTCTCTTTTCTGCTCTCTTTTTTCTCTTATCCTCCTTTTTCTTCGCTCTCTCTTTTCTTGTTTTTATAGGCAAAAGAAAAGGAAAGAGAGGCCAGAGTGGCCACTGTAATGCCTTCCCTCTAACAGGTGGAAAGCTTTGGGCAAGTGGGGGTGTGTTGTTGTCTTTTTGAAAGGAAGTCTGTGTTTTTTTTAAGGGGAAGGCGATGGAAAACAGAGGAAAAAAAATCTTTTTCTTCCCCTGCTTTGCGCGTCTAGGGGAAGAAAAGGACTCACAATGTCGTTCAAAACAATATTATTTAAGGCTTTTTCTTCCTCTTTTTTAATTAACAGTGTAGGAAACGAAGCCGTTTTAGATAAAACGTGTCGTTTCATTTAAAAGAAAAGGGAGGAAAAAAAACATGTCAGAGTTCACATCAGTCCTCAATTTATGATTTGTTCAATCGAGTCCTCAATTGTAATTTTGATTTAAAAAATTAAAATTTTGGTCTTTAGGCTTGAATTTATATAATTTGACCCTCAATTAATCAATAAACTTTTAATTTCTTCAATTTGACCTCTGATTCAGTTTAATTATAGCTTCTCTATTTATACATATTTTTCATTTTGGTCCCTAGTTTCGGATCTTTTAAATTAAGTCCTTAATTGGCTATCAAATTTTAATATTTATGCAATTAAGCCCTTGATTTTATCAAATTAACTTATAAAAATTATAATTTAACTCCAGAACTTTAATTTCTTCCAATTAAAGCCTAAACTGACTTCAAAATTAATTTTTCTTGCAATTAAACCCTCCATAAATTTAATTAAACCTTCAATAAAATTTAATTGAGTCCATAAACATCTAATTTTGGACTTTTCTTCCTCAAATTGAATTTTTTTTATCAACAAGGCTCTTATCAGCCTATAAAATACTGTCACATTTTAATTTTTATAATTTTGAACCTTCTAAACTAATTTTTAATTATTTTTAGAGTGCTCTGACATTTTTTTTTTCCGGTTATATTTTTTAATAATATTTTTGAATTTTTTGTACTTTTTAAAGAGAGAAACAAATATAAATTAAAAAATAATCCAAAAATAAATTATAATAAAACTAATCAAAAAATATTGATAAAATCTTTACTTTTCTTTGATATCAAAATTTTTCAGCCAGCGTCAACCCCAGGCCGCTAAGGCTGTTAATATAAATATGCTATAGCAAACCGAATTTTTCGTCAAGCATGCATTCCCACCTGTGCAGGGTGTTAATATAATATAATATAATAATATGTTATAAAATTATAATATTATCATCAACCGGTTCTATTTAACGACGGCGGAAACCTCTGCTCGTATGCCCGCTGGTGTTTCTTCCTCATATTTGGTGATGTTATCAATACTATCTCTTTCTAATCTCACTTGAGACATTACTGTTTTTTTCTCTCTAATTAATCATTCCTTTTAATTTGTAGTTTTAAGCCATGGATGGCACTTACACGCTACACGCCCCTGCACAAGACTCGGCCACGGAAGGCTACTCCTCAGCTGCTAAAGGAGGAGTTGCTGGTGTCCTCATCATGCTCCTTCTTGCTGTCGTAGTTTATGTATTCTTCAAGTGTCGAAACTGCTCCGTAAAATTTGAGGTGGATGTTGAAATGCCAGAAAGGAGCGTCCATGCTGGGAAATAAGGAGGTAGCATGTCATAAGAAGTTGAAGCTGATTAAGATTCATACAATGAGATTCTTCTAATCTATCAATATAAATGTTTTCGTATTAATTGCAGGTCTTCTTCTTCGCCGAGGTAGCAATCCATTCAGTACTCGGGCGCCACCACAATTGGTTTCTAGTTATATCTACTGTATTATTGCAGATAAATATTTGGTCTGTTTTCTCACGACAAAAAACTCAACATCAGACCATTTTAATTTGTACTTTATATATAAATAAACTATGGTGTGAGTTTTGTTTTGGAGTTAAAAATGTTCAATTAAAATCGTCAAAGCAGATAATGAATTTTGGGTTTTTTCCCTTAATTCTTTTTTTTCTTTTTTTGCTCTATACTTGGAGTGGGGTTTTTTTTTTTATTATCATTTTACTGCGTTGCCACTGTAACAAATCAGTGTGGACTTACTGGTAATTTTGTTATCTGCTGGGGCCCGCTTTTGGATCTTCCATTTTATTACCGTCTCTTTTTAACGAAAAGAAAGTCGTCCACAATCACTGCAGTCACAGCTAAACTCTTTGTTAAATCGATCGCAGATCCCACTCTATGTCAAACCCATGGCGTTCCGGTGCGGTGAGTGTCGGAACGGTGCCAACTCCATCTCCTCTGCGCGTTGATGAGAGCGGTTTTTCTCGCCGCTATCCAGTCTTTCTGCCTTCTGTTGCTTTCGCTTTTTTTTTTCTTTTTAAAATTTGAGGTGTCGGCACACCACGATTAATCTCTAAATTTACTGAATATCTTGCAAGTTGAGTAAACAAATGAAACACCGCGAGAGTGATAAATATGCTCGTTGAAACTTAAATCCAAGATACATAGATAGAGAAACTCTACCAGGACCGCTGGACTACAAGCCTCGCTGCTGATTTCGCTTTTGTTTTCTCGCGCCTTCCGCCCCTGGTGGAGTTACTAGCGGCGTGGTCCTGGACGGTTGCGTTGATTGTTGTGATCGCTTGAGTCTGTGGGAACTGTCTCTTTTCGTGTTCTTTTTTTTTTTGGCTCCCGGCAGCTGGATCGTTTCGTTGTTGACGGCTATGCCGTGGTTTGGTGGTTTTATTGGTAACTGGTTCATTGGTGTTGTTTTTTTTTTCTTTTTCTCGAGAGAGAAGTGAGAATTGCTAGCGGAGATGGGTGGCGGTGGTGGTCCGTGGGTTTCAGTGCGTTTAGTGTGGGATCGGTGCCAACTCCATCTCCCCTGCTTGTTGATGAGGGCGGTTTTTCTCGTCGCTATCCAACGAGGGATGTCCAGTCTTTTTGCCTTCCGTTGCTTTCGCTTTTATTTTGGCGCTGGATCGTTTCGTTGCTATCGGCTATGCCATGGTATGTTGGTGTTGGGCGTGCCATGGTGGAATTGCGCTGGGCAGTTGGGGTTTTTTTTAAGAGGGAGATGAAAATTGCCAAGGGAGATGGGTTGCGGTGGCAGTCCGTGGGTTTTGGCTTTGTTGAGTACAGAGGCATCAATCTTCTATTACAAAGAAAAAAAATTGCAACCGCGACCTGGAGGAAGGGAGAGACAGAAGGAGATTAAAATTATCGACCTTGACTGGTAATTTTCTTTGATTTTCTTAAATGGATCTTTGAATTAATTGTTTATTATTACCTATATTGGTTGGTTGATCGTTCCTCCCCAGTGGAGGAGTGTTGTGTTGCAGTGATGGGGCATGCTAATATCTATGTTCTAATAACTGATTGGTTGAATGGAATGAATTGGCAGGCTATGGAAAGGAGCAGGACATGGGAATCGAAGCATTGGAAGCCATGCTTATGGATGATGAATTTAGAGGTGCTCCTCCCTTTCTTTCTTTTTGATTTTTTTCAAAGCAAACAAACCAATGATATGCAATGGCAGAAATTCATTCTAGCGAGAATGGCCTTCATACTTGTAACCATCGCTTCAAAATATCAATATTTCCACAGGTTATTAGGTTGTCTGGCTGTTCTATCATCCATGGCTTCAAACTAACTACAAAAAGGAATGGTTAATTACAAGGAAAAAAATCAGCAATTTCTAAACCCACCAAACAAAGGAAGAGTGAAGGATGGGCCAAGGGGAATCGAAAATCTTTGTGCTTGCTCTCAAGGAATATTGTCCCGTTTAAATAGTTAATCATCGAATTAAAAACAAAAACATAAATTTAAAGACAAAAAAAACAAAAACAAAAAACCTAAAAAAACCAAACAAATTTCCTTTAACTTGTGCTAATCTTTCAAACTCATAAAAATAAAATTCTATATCGGAATTTTAGTTAAAAAACTTAATTCCCAATCAATTTTATAGAGAGAATGAAACAAACAAAGCAATTTAAAAATTTATCAAAATAAAAAAACAATTATCAATATAATGAAAATTAAATCTTATATGAAAGAAAAACTAAAAAATGATGAATTTTTAAAATAAAATAAATTTTAAAAATCATCTCAAATAAAACAAACAATAATAAAAAGAATGAAACCGTATCAAATAGATTAAAAAAATAAATAAGAATAAAATTAAAAAAATTTTAATTTTATAAATTATCTAAAATAAAAAAAAATAATAAAAAAATAGACTATATCTAAAAAAACAAATTAATAAACTGCTCTAAAAATTTAAAGAATCTAGTATGAAAATCAATATAAAAAAAAAATTATCAATATCAAACCATATTTCAATAAGCTATGTACGATGTTTAGAGAGGAAGGGTCTGTTGATTCTAAAAACATCAGTGAACTACGCTTTTAGTATCCACTTGAATATGTCGGATGAATGGATATATTTTGCCACTTCGGCAATGGCGCCCATTTTGTCACTTGGGCAACGATTCCCACTTCGTCACTTTGTCACTGTCCATCGCAGATCTTCCATTTTCCTTTAAATCCCTCCTATTTGTTTCCTTAGACCAGCCAAACAGCCTTGTCATGTCATGCGTTCTTAAAGCTCCTTATTCACAAAATTAAGCTCCCACTCTTGCTCTGCTAACTTTTCTCCTCCCGCGTTTAATTCCTCCTCAAATTTGGTAATATTATCAATGCATGCGACCTCTTTCTAATCTCACTTGAGACATTACCGATTTTATTTTCTTCTAATTAACCATTCCTTTTTGTAGTTTTAAGCCATGGATGGTTACATCCCACACCCCCCTGCACAAGACTCGGCCACAGAAGGCTACTCCTCAGCTGCTAAAGGAGGACTTGCTGGTGTCCTCATCATGCTCCTTGCTATCGTCGTTTATGCATTCATCTCAATTAAAATCGTCAAAGTTATTTTTTATATATTTTTTTTACTTTACTTGGAGTGGGGTTTTACTCCCAAAATAAAATAAAATAAATCCATATATTATAGCATGATTTTATTTTCCTCCTATATTTATTTTCCTCTTTGGTTAATTTCTAAATTGTCATTTAACTAAATTGTGGTCGTGCTGCAACGCTCCGGGCAAAAAAAATATCAACATCTACGACACATCCCTATGGTATCCATTCATTATCGGATTTGGACCCACCCGCACAGATTCCCCCTTCATGCAATCTTAAAATTAAAATTAAAAATTAAAACAAGCTTCTTAGCTTAATATAAACTTCTCATGCAACACAGATGGCCAAAGAAAATTAGTATACATTATTAAACTATACAAATATGGTCTATTTTCTGTAATTTATTTTGAGTTATCTGATATATATTATTAAAAAAAATTAATATTAATAAAAACTCTATTAAACTAAATAATTTTATAACTGAGAGCAGGCACGCTGGCCTAGTCCACAAGAAAAATCATGGTATAAGTTCTAATTCCTTAAAAACTATACAGGATAGGTGTTTCTTTGATATCTAAATTAACAAAGTATTTCAGAAAAATAATATATAAAAGAAGAGAATCAAAATATAGGAGAGTATTATTTTAAATTATTATGAGTGTAAATAGATTATTCAATTTTTTTTATACATCCTTGAATATTTATATACCACTAAATCACAAGAAATTGCAATATGGAGTTAGGGATACGGAGTTAGAGATATAATGTCCATGTGCATCCTCTCGTAAAATTAATAAAATATTCCTATTGTATTTCAATACTTGACGTAGCGGTGGAAGGAGTTTGTCTCTTTTTACTATACCTGGGTTCGAGCCCTGGCATGCACGTCTGTCATCCCCACAGTGTTTTATATGTCTACTGCGTTTGCAGGGTATTCAGTGGGCCATAAGGATTAGTCATGGTACGCGCAAGCTAGCCAAACACCCTATGTAAATAAAAAAAAAATAATAATAAAATATTCATATTTGTTTGAAATTATAGCAATGATGGTGGTTTAAAATATTTTTTATTTAAAAATATATTAAAATAATTTGTTTTAAATTAGCATATTAAAAAGATACAAAAATATAAAAAAAATTATTTTAAATAAAAAATTTTAAAAAATTTTAAAATATAATTTACATTGTGTTTTCGTATAGATAACTTGTAGTGGTCCTAAACATGCCTTGAACCTCGTTTGACAACGCCACGTGTGATAAGAACTTAGTGCTGCTATCACAAAATGGATCAATGGACTTATTGGTTTGAATTGGTTGCCTTTTATTTTACTTATGCATTGGGTTTGGTTGGGACTTTTCTCTCATTTGTTTTTTTATCCTCTCCTTTCTCTCTCTCTTGTGTGATTGCTCTTAAGGAATATTTTCCCATTTAAATAGTTAATCATCAAATTAAAAATAAAAACATAAAAAAGGAAAAAAAAACTTAAATAAACCCAAACAAATTTTCTTAACTTGCGCTAATCTTTTAAACTTATAAAAAATAAAATTTTATACAGAAGTTTAATTAAAAAACTTAATTCCCCATTAATTTTATACAAAGAATAAAATAAACAAATCAATTAAAAAAATTATTAAAATAAAAAAAATTATCAACATGATAAGGATTAAATTTTATATGAAAAGAAAACTGAAGGAGGATGAATTTTAAAAATAAAATAAATTTTAAAAATTATCTCAAATAAAACAAACAACAATGAAAAGAATAAAACCGTATCAAATAGATTAAAAAATAAATAAAGATAAAATTGAAAAAAATTCTAATTTTATAAATTATTTAAAATAAAAATAATAATAATAAAAGATTATATCTAAAAAAACAAAATAATAGGCTGCTCTGAAAATTCAAAGAACCAAGTATAAAAATCAAGATGAAAAAAAAAAAAATCATCAATGTCGAACCATATTTCAATAAGCTATGTGCGATGTTTAGAGAGGAAGGGTCTACCGATTCTAAAAACATCAATGAACTACACTTTTAGCCTCCATGATAAGTTGCATACCCACTTGAATATGCTGGAGCAATGGATATATTAGTACGTGTGATGCAAGCACCAGCCACTTATGATGTTTTTTTATATATATATTTTGCTATGATATTTGAAGCTTTATAATGTTTTATTTATTTAGAGTGATGTGTACAGTGTTTACAATAATGGTTTATAACTACACCTCTCTCTTTTTTTTTCCTCTCTCCCTCCCCAATTAAATTTGATGTTGACTATTAAAAAAATTATAAATCATGTCTTTTTATTTTATAACATCTTATATTTACCCCTTAAAATTCTGATTTTTAAGTTTGTTTCTTAACCCTGTTATAAAGTTTTAATTTACTTTTTATTTCATTTTTAGATTTATAATTTTTTTAAATTGGTTTCTCATTCTCTAGATTTTTATTTTTGTTTTGGATACTTTAGAGAATTTTTTTTAAATTCAATGTTTAATAATATTTAAAGTTTAACCTTTAATATTTTAAGTTTAAATTTTGATTCAAAGCTTAATTTATTTAATAATATGATTAAAAAAATAGATAACAGTAGTAGTAAATAAATAAAAATAAAGTAATAATTAATTAAAAAATAAATTATCAATATCATATTTATATATAAAAAAATTTCGCTGGAATCTTGTCGTTATTCTACCATAAACATTGTCCCACCATCATACAGAGCTATTTCTAGAACAACCACGAAAGATTGCAAGACAATATCGAAAGAGGCTGTAAACACTGTCAAAGCAATGATATAGAAATCAAAATAAAAACCATGTCGTGACCATCCCATGCTAATGTTTGATTAATGTAATATAATATAATTTATTTTAAAAAATTAAATTTAACAAATAACAATAAGTAAAAAACCCTAAGAGAATTCACGTAATTTTTAAAATTAGTAAAAAATCAAATAAATAATAATAAATAAACTTTAAAAAGATAAAATTGAAAAAACAAAAACATTAACTTGAAAAAAAAAGAAAAGAGGGATTGAATTTTTTAAATCCAAGTTAGTTTTTTAAATTTAAAACTCGTGAAATTATAAATCTGAATTTAATCAATGATGGAATTAAAAAAAATTTCAAAGTAAAAAAAATAAAAAAACCAAATTGAAAGGAAAAAAACAAAAAGAAATGAAATCATAAAAAAAAAAAATTCAATTTGTTGATAGTTTTGTAACCCACCATCCAATTGTGGAAATCAAAGTGGCAAATGGACTGGTTAAAAACAGAAAACATAAAACAAAGTAATCATTTAAAACCAACAGAATGGAAATTCTGTTGTTGATCTTGAGCAAGCCAACTATGCGATCAGTACGGCACCATAATCACATCATATATCTGTGAACCTTGTCCAAGACAAAAAGGAAAGAAGAAAGACAGGATGTGAGCAATGGTTTCAATGTCAATACAATGCATAGATAACAAAAAATGAAAATAATCGGATGAACATAGCGGACAGATCAATGGAACGGGCACAAAGTAGAATTTAATCTTGGCTGTGAGATACTGAATAAAGCATTTAGAGTTTGATTGTACAATCTATCAACATGAATCTCAGAAAGAAAGGGAATGGATGCCCCCGTGCAACAGCAGCCACAGATCTTGTTTGCTATTTTTTCTGTTGGAAAACTTGAAAAAAGCTCAGTATTTGCCTGAAGGCATGGTCTGCTATTTCTGTCCTGAATAGTCCATATGCCATAATCAGCAAGTCTGAGATCTCAGTCAAGTAAACTCTTGGATCTTGAAAATCCTAAATTCAACCACAAAAAAAAAAACATAGAATTCTCACTCAAAAGCCCAAAATTCACTCTGATCACCCCTCATCTGCAGGGGAAAAAAGAACACAGGGTACTTAATTATAAGGCAATCACGATGACAGCTTAACCAAATAAAAAAGATTGAAACTTTGAAACTTGATGACAGAACTATCGATGTTGTTATTAAATAAACGTGTTAGAGGTCAAAGTTTTGCTCGCTGCTATCAATTATGATGCCATGTTGGAATCGATTTCCAAGGCAAACTTTAGCAGATAAAATAATAATTTAGGGAGATTAAGCATACAAAGCAAACCACATATAGATCTTGAAAGAACTCACAGCTCCCAGTTCACCTCCTTTTCCCACTGGAAATAAAACACAGATCTAGATAGAATTCACAGTTTCCTGTTCACCTTTTTCCCCACTGAAAATAAAACTGATCGAGCTAAGAATCCAAAACAGCACAACTAAAGGAGCAGAGCATAAGAACAGGACCAAACTCCGGGGAAGAGAAAAAAACACAGCACCATGATGATCGAACAGCCAGCCAACCTAACCTGCGGAGATATTGATATGTTGAAGCGATGGTTAGAAGTATTAAGGCCATTCTCGCTAGAATGAATTTCTGCCATTGCATATCACTGGTTTGTTTACTTTGAAAAAATCAAAAAGAAAAAAAGGGAAGAGCACCTCTAAATTCATCATCCATAAGCATGGCTTCCAATGCTTCGATTCCCATGTCCTGCTCCTTTCCATACTCTTTCAATTCATTTCATTCAACCAATCAGTTATTAAAACATAGATACTAGCACGCCCCATCACTGCAACACAACACTCATCCACTGGGGAGGAACTAGCAACCAACCAATATAGGTAATCATAAAAAATTAATTCAAAGATCTATTAAGAAAATCACCAGTCAAGGTCGATAATTTTAATCTCCTCCCGTCTCTCCCTTCCTCCAGGTCGCGGTTGCTATTTTTTTCCCTTTGTACTACTAGAAGATTAATGCCTCTGTACTCAACAAAGCCAAAACCCACGGACCGCCACCGCAACCCATATCCCCTGACAATTCTCGTCTCCCTCTATTAAAAAAAAGAAGAAAAGAACCCAACAGCTCAGCGCAATATTGAACCACTTACCAACATAACCACCAAACCACGGCATAGCCGTTAACAATGAAACGATCCAGCCGCCAGGAGCGGGAAAAAAAAAAAACGAAAAGCGACAACTCCGACGACTCAAGCGATCACGTATGCCAACGCAACAGTCCAGGTCCACGCCGCTAGGAACTCCACCAGCGGCGGAAGTCGCGCGAAAACAAAAGGGAAAGCAACGGAAGGCAAAACGACTGGACATCCCTCGTTGGGTGGCGACGAGAAAAACCGCCCTCATCAACACGAAGGGGAGATGGAGTTGGCACCGATCCCACACTTAACGCACTGAAACCCACGGACCACCACCGCAACCCATCTCCCCTTGCAATTCTCACCTCTCTCTCGCGAAAAAAACAAAAAAACAGAAAAACACAATCAATGAACCAGTTACCAATAAAACCACCAAACCACGGCATAGCCGCCAACAAAGAAACGATCCAGCTGCCAGGAGCCTAAAA